ATATGCCTGTTTATATGATTGATTTTTTTGGTTTATGGCATGCTAGACTTATTCACTCTAGTAAAGGTTATTGTGACAACTTGGACTTCTTTTTGAAATTAAAAATAATGATTTTGAAAAATGTGAAATGTGTGTTGAAACCAAACAAAGTAAAAAAACCTTATTTTTCTAGTCAAAGAGAATCTGAGTTATTGTCTTTAATTCACATTGATTTGGGTGATTTGAAACAAGCTATGACTAGAGGTGGTAAAAATATTATATTACTTTTATTAATAATTTTTTAAGATATAGTAAAGTATACTTGTTAAGAAATAAAGATTAAGGTTTTGAAAAAAATTTCTTTTGTATAAAGCAGAAGTTGAGAATCAGTTAAATAAAAGGATTAAAAGAGTTAGATTTGATGGAGGTGGAAAATATGTTTTATTAAATAATTTTTTGTAAGAAAACACCTCCTTATTCTCTTGAGCTTAATGGTATTGTAGAAAGGAAAAGTATAACATTAAAAGAGATGATGAATGCATTGCTTATGAGTTCTTCTACACCTGATAACTTATGGGGTCAAGCAATTTTGTTTGCATGTTTTTTACAAAACATAATACCTCATAAGAAAATAAAGAAAGCACCTTATGAATTGTGCAAAGGATTTACCTCAAATTTAAAATATTTGAAAGTGTGAGGGTGTTTAGCAAAAGTTTTATTGCCTAATCCTAAAAAGAGAAAAATTAGTTCTAAAACTTATGATTGAATGTTTATTGGATATGCTAAACAAAATATAGCTTATCATTTTTTAATTTTAAAAAGTGATGTTTTAGACTTGTCGAGATGAAAAATACTAAATTTTTTGAATATATTTTTTCCTTGAAAATTGAGCGTGTTTCTAAACATATTGAAAATGTTGAGTTTGAACAAAATTTGAATGAGAATTTAGTTTTAAGGAGAAGTAAAAGGCAAAGAAAAGAAACAAGTTTTAGAGATGATTTTTATACTTTCTTAGTGCAAGATGAACCATTGAATTTTTGTGAACCTGTTTCTTCTCTTGATGCTAAGTTTTGGAGAGAAGCCATTGATATTAAAATTGATTCCATAAGGAAAACTAAAACTTAGATTTTAGCATATTTGCCTTAAGGAGCAAAGGTTATTGGGTGTAAATGGATTTTTAACAAAAAAAATATTTTTCAGATGGTTCAATCAATAAATATAAAGTAAGGCTAATAGCCAAGGGTTTTATACAAAAGAAAAATATTAATTATTTTGACACCTTTTCTCCTGTGATTAAAATTTCTTCTATAAGAATTTTTATTTCTTTGGCTTCAATTTACAAGTTTTCTGTTTACCAAATAGATGTTAAAACAACAACTTTGAATGGTGATTTGGAAAAACAGATTTATATGGTGTAGCCTGAGGAATGTATGATTTCTAGTTAAGAAAATAAAGTTTATAAATTTGTCAAATTTTTATATGGCTTAAAATAAGTACCTAAGTAAGGGCATGAAAAACTTGATCAAGTTTTGACAAATGATGAATTTTCTGCTGTTGAAGTAGAAAGATATGTTTATACAAAGCTTGTGAATAATGATTGTGTGGTTATATGCTTATATGTGGATGACATGCTCATTTTGGTTCCAGTATGTATGTTGTTAATGAAACCAAACATTTTTTTTCTTTAAATTTTGATATGAAAGATATAAGTGAAGCTAACGTTATCTTGAGTGTGAAAATAATAAGTGATGATAATGGAACTTTACTTTTCTAAGAATATTATGTTGAGAAAATTCTCAAAAAGTTTGAACATCTTAAAGATTCTCTTTTGAATACTCCTTATGATACGAGTGTGCAATTAAAAAAGCACAAGGGTGACCTAGTTAGTCAATTTGAGCATGCAAGATTATTGGGAGTCTGTTGCATTTGATGAATTTTACCAAGCCTGATATAGCTTATGTTGTAGGCAGATTGAACAGATATATTCACTGTCCAGGCAGTAAATACTAGGAGGCTTTGGTTAAAGTTTTAAGATATTTGAGAGATACCATGAACTATGGTATATTGTGTAGTGAATTTCTTGTTATAGTATAAGAGTTATACAATGATGCTAATTGAATCTTGGATTTAAAAGAGATAAAATACACTAGTGGTTATATATTCACTCTTGGTGGGGGTACAATAACCTGAAGTTTGCAAAACAGACAATCAATACGAAATCCTCGAGGGATTTTAAATTTATTGCCATGGAACTGGCTAGAACTAAGATTGAGTGGTTGAAAAATTCTTAGTGAGTATTCCAATAGATGAAAAGCCCACACCATCAGTGTCTTTACATTGTGATAGCCAATCTGCAATAGCAACAACTAAAAATAAGACCTTTAATGCCAAAAATAGACATATTCAATTGAGACATAATATTATGAGGTAGTTGCTCAAAGATGGGGTCATCTCAATCAATTATGTAAGATCAAAGTTAAATCTAACAAATCTATTAACTAAGCCCTTGGGGAAGAAATGTATTATCAAAATGTTGAGGGGAATAAGACTTGAGCCTATTTGAAATTAACAGTGATGGCAACCCAACCCTTGTGATTGGAGATTCTATGAAGAAGGTTCAACTGGTAGGAATAAGTCACTTGTTAGTTTTGCTAGCATTAAAATTTTTTATCCCTTCCTATAGCTTGAGAAAATGCTAAAATGCATTAAATGAAGGCTAAGAGAAAACTTACTGTTTTCATAATCCTTGTGGATGGTGCATTCATTATAGATACACTAGATGAAAACACCTATACAAATGTAAAGTAGGGCCACTCCTATGAGATTATGGTGAAATCTTTAGAGCATTTGTTAAAACTCGGTGCACGCATGGTCGATAACATGCAAAATTGATATTAACAGCAGAGACTATGGGGGTATAATCCGATTAATAAAACCTCTCGTACACACTTAAGATTTGTTAGTTCAATAACAAAGTTACACCGACTTTTCTATATACTAAGTTTTATTGATCTAGGTTTAGTTTAAGTTGACAGACACTAAATTTAAAGTGATTATCTTCCAAGTGAATAACTCAGATGACAGTAGTTTTTTTGACACACGTGGGGATTGTTATAGTTATTGTGTGTGTTAAAATGTGCTAGAAAAATAAACTTGGAGGAGAAGTGGGTCACACACACAAAACAAGCCAAGTTGGGGCAATCAAAGTTGGAAAATAGCCGATTTGCCCTTTACACACGAGTTAAAGAGGCACTGGTTTCTTTTTACTAAATTATTTTTACAAAAAATAAATAATTATTTATTTAAATTAGCTTACCAAAAAATCTTATTTTTTGGCTGTTTGAAGTTTGAATTTGAACCTTAACCATTGGCATTAAGCAATTTATTAAATGAATTTTACTAATCAATTTTCATTAGCATTTTGTCCCCCAATGGCTCTAAAAGTAATACACATGTAATCAAGGTTTAATAGTGGTTTATTTCAGTGATTAAATACCCAACGTTTATGTCTAGGATCTTGGCCTATATATAGGCATGCATGCGGATAAAACACTTCGCCTGGCTCTTAAGTTTTCAAGCCGCTTCTTTCCTCCTGCATATGTGCTATGCTGATTGAGTTACTTCTATTAGTTTGTGTTGTTGTGGCCTTGCTTATTTGCAGGATGAGCTTATTTAATCCTAAAGAACTATCAATCTACCATACTAGTGTGTCGAAATAGTTCTTAAGGATAGTGTCATTTGACACGACTCAAGCTTTCACTTTCCTAACTACCGCCAACATCTTTAATAGGAGGATACCTGTGTGTAACTAATAAAAAAAGTTAAATAAAAAATAAACTAGCAACGATATTGGATTAAGTGTTAGCAATAATTCTTTACAAGATCATGTATAAAGACATGCAACTGAAAATTATTTTTGCTTAATCTATATCAAAGCATATGAATTACCTTCATGATCTCCTAATTGCTCACAATAGTTTGAAGTACTGTTAGTCTAGTATTAATGATCCATCTCTAAGCATTTCTCAATATAAAAGAGTCTCTTAATTAATTAGTCCTTATTTTCTTCTGTAGCTATTTAATTGACATCATGAAGAGCAAAATATGAGACTATAGAATAGAGACGACTTCATTGGGTCGGCATTGACAAACAGTCAACAGTTTGTGTATGTGAAGGAAATCATGTGGCTTTACATTTTAACTATATATATATGTTCTAACGTCCCCTAACTCAATGGTGATGGCTTTCTTTCTCATTTCTTTTTATTTTTTAGTTTTTGCCCCCTGTGATTTCACCCGAATTTGTGTGCCTCTGTCTTCTTTAATCAAAGAGTGATTGGATAATATATTCGATCTTGACGGATTGAATAGTAACTATAAAATTTTAGACTAACACACACACACACACTCAAACTAATAATTCTAATATCAAATTTAAATCACTATTAGGCCACTAGGAGACCAAAAGGGTCAAGAGCAGACGTCAAGATTGGGCAATAAAACACATTTAACACAACTAAAAAACAGTTTCATGTAATAATGTGGTATAATATATATGTTATATTTAATCTTATTAATTTATAATAATTCCTTTTTGAAATACTCAAAAAATATTTTATAATATCCAACAGAATGATCCAAGCCTCTACAGAACTGGTCAAACAGAAAACCAGTGAATTATATTGGCTAACTAATGAAAAATTAGAAGAAACAAGAAAATTCCTCGCTCAACTCTAGTTCAAACTTTTGTAACTTTCATTCGGCTATTGTACTTAATAACTTCGAGATCAAATCAAACCAACTTAAAAAGCAATATTTGAAAAAGAAACGTGGAAGAAGATCATCAAGACCTTGCAAAGCTACCACTCTGCATATACAACGCAAAACAAGAGGCAAGGCACAAGATATTTTATTTTACATTATCCGAAAGGGTTCATCATATTGAAATTAAATTAAAGCCTAAAGTAGAAGTAGCTAGGAGCTAGGCTCCTATATTACAGTAACGCAAACATGATTGTAAATCAAGTAGCAGAGGAGGAGCAAGGATCGTAGCAGAAGTTTGTGGTATCAAGACAACGACACTTTGGAGGCAAAGATTCATAGCAGATACAAGCCTTACAAGCAGAGTGACAAGTTTCTCCGAAATCATAACATTGACATTGAGGTGGGTCTGACTTGGTGCAGGCGCAGTTGTTGCAGCAGGCTGTGGTGGTTGACTTGATCATGTAGTTTGCTTCACCGTTCTCATTCATCATCCGAGCCTGTAGGAATGTGTCTGGATCGAACCAAGCCTCCACAGTTGCAGTGAAGGCCATCAAGAACAGAACCAGACCGACCTTCATCATCATCTTCTCTCCGTAAGTGTGTTGGTGTGCTTGAGATTTTCTTGTGAAGAAGTGGGAAGATATTAAGGGTTTATTTATAATCCAATTTGAGGGAATGTTACAGTTCCAAGTGATTAGCCAAGGGTTGAGATTTAAGGACAAAACATGCCTTATCCTCGGCCTATGATATTTTATAAATCATAAGGAGCTCAGAAAGCTACATGTGTGTATACATAAATATAATAATGAATTTGTGATCTATTAGTACCAATCTCACACGTAGATCTGACACGACTCTCCTCTCGTGATGCCTTTATCTTCAGCCTATGATAGTTTGTCATATATTTAGTTTATTTCCTGTTTGTTGATATCCTGGTGTTAGTGTAGAGAATAATCAAACCAAATAAATATTCTCTTCACTTGCCTGAGAGGCTTTAATTTGTTGGATTATTTTCTGTTTGTAAGATCTGGATTTTGCATCTTTGGTTTCCTTAAACTGTTAAATTTATAATGAACGGTTCAGATTTAAGTTTGACATTTAATATTTTATAAAAATATTATTAAAATGTAAAAATATAATATGTCCATCTAAACTATTCAGTACTGCAAATCTAATGGTTCAGATTTCATTTGCAGTGAATATGAAGCGGATGGAAAGCATGGTAGATAGAATTCTCACGTATATACTTTCTTTTTTTTTTTGAGCAAAACGTATATACTTGTAGGTGTATCACTATGTGTTACTAAATAAACATAAAAAGTCATATTATTGAAAAAACACTAAAATCAACTTATGTTAGCAAAAAAAATACTATGCCTCTCGTCACTTAAACAAATATTTAAAGATTTGAATCATAACTCTTAAATATAATAATCTAGTTGGGAGAAGTATAATTATAATAGTGTGTTTGGATCAATGGGGATTTGGATTTGGATTTAGACCAAATTCCTCATTTAGATATACAAAAATTTACTCCCTCTATTTCTATATATAAGAGAAAAAATTATATTACATAGTTTAAAAAAGTTAATTCACTATAATAATTATGTTTGAAAATTAAAAATTAAACTAAAACGACCTATGTTAATCAATATAAGCATGTATTAATTATTTTTTGCTAATGTAAATTACGAACGGTGATTTAAAAAATGTGTAATAAATGCTTATTAAAATGAGTAATTTTGCTTATAAAAAAATATAAATAAAAAAGTGATAGTTTCTCTAATAATAAAAAAATAGAGAGAGTATAAACTTAGATTTGATTCAAATTCAAATCCATTTCAAATTATAATTCCTTTGTAATTTTAAATTTTCTTTACATCTTAGTCATTTGAAATTTTAATCATTCAAACATTTTATTATTTTTACATTTTCATTATTGATACATTCCCCTACAACCCTTTTATCTTTTCACATCTCATGTTGATTAAAAAAATATAAATAAACTTGTGTTTTTCAATTTTTTATTTTTGTTTTGAATCTTAGCTCATATCTTTTTTTTTCATTCAAAATTTTTTAAACTATCCAAACAAAAATTTTAAATACATGCATTTGAAATATTTTTCAAATCAATCCAAATTTGAGTCTAAATCCATCAATCCAAGGGCTACCTTAAATTATTTTAAATTATAATAACCATTAAGACTTATCCTAAAAGAAGAACTAAAACTAAATAGTTAAAATAATATATCATTCGATATATCCAGATTCTGAGATGCCCTTAAAATATCGATATCTTGATCTCATCGTCTAGCCGGTCAAATAATTATATTTCATTTGGATAATATATAAAACTATCACATGGCCGCCTGAATAATGTATTTGCTCACGGAACTATAAACATTTTGTCTCCACGTTCATCAAATTTGGTTAAATGCTTTTGTCTTCTCTGTGACTATTCTGTGCCTTTCCTTTCTGATATTTTCTTCCTTTGTTTGTGGTTATATTTCTGCGTACCTTTTATTGCAGATTACCAATTTAAACTTGAACTTTCTCTGTAGTTTTGGCTAACCAGAACTTATTACTGTCAATAATACAGAGAATCGCTTGTCTTAATTATTCATATATACTACAGTGTTTGTCTCACACAGCAGAAGCTGGTGGCCGGCACATTGATAAATCCAACCCATATATAGGATTATGTGATCAATGTGAAAATTTATAATTAAATGTCGATCCATGTATGACAGCTTCATTTTTTTTTTTCATATTAAATTAGTGTGTGATGTGTTTTTGAAAAGTAATTAAACTTCTGTTTCATAATTAGCATATGTTTCCAGCCAATGATATCCAGCCTCCTATATAATATTTGAAATCCTCAGAGACTTGGGGTAGAAGCATTTTTTCCCCTTCTTAGTAGAAGGTCTATATTATGACTTAAATTAATCTAGATAGCACGAAATATCATTTATAAGAGAAATGATCACGTTTTGTTATACGTACGTACACTATTCGACAGGGACAATGGAGTCAATTGGATTTAATTAATGTATAGAACTTATTCGAACAGGAAGAGCTTATTCTTATCTGACTCAATATATTTAGACCGGAGATACATATTTAGGCTAGCTTGAATAAACCGAAACATATAGAAAATATCATAAGATTAATATTTATACATTATGAAATTTATATAAGTTTTTTAGTATAATATTGTATAACACATAATACTAAGAATTAAAAAATTGAACTAGCTAAGAGAAACCATGGCTTTTACCCAGCCAGTTCCATTTATCTCCGCCACTGCCATTGTGGAAGAATATAAAAATAGTCTATATATAGGTATATATTTGAAATTATTAGGAGTAAGTAGCATCCTTATCCTACTCAAAATTAGATTACTCTAGAATTAGAGGGATATCCATAATATATCAAATTAAAATGAAGTGATTTAATTACTTTAAATGTCGGTATCTAATTAATAGAAATCTAGAATTTCAATTCCACCGAATGCCTTGCCTCAATGTTTAATAGGCTTGTTGATCGATGAATTAACTCATAATGTTAAGTATATAAAACTAAGAACAGTTTCAATATTTAAAAAAGGACGTATTATATGCTTAGTTTTTGTTAAATGACCAGATAATTCGACTTCAATCGTACAAAATTTTAAATTTGTCATATGTTGCTTGCATTATTCATTGTTGGAAGTTTGATAACTCCAGAGCACCCGCCATCAATTTTATCTCCACCTGGACCAATAGATATGTGATGAATTATGTTGTTCAAATTTAAAATTTATAATATGTATCTGAATTATTTATTGGAAATTTGATAATTCAGATTTGCAGTGGAGGTTAAGTAGATAAAAGTGCTTGTGATTGAGGTTTCACAGATTCCATCACATGACACATAATTATAGACAGTATAGAGAAACTAATAAATATTGTTGATCAGGTCAAATGGATATGTATAATATATGCATATAATAATTACATACATATGAAAATATTCCATCATATTTAGTTGTCCTTGTGAGCCAATATTAATAGATGCGTGGTTTCACGTGAATGGTTGAATAAATTAATTAACTAAGTACTGATTCGAAGATATCATGTATCATGCATGTGGGCTTGGTCCGCTTACATGGGATAATTTATGGAGATCCAATCCGATAGATAAATCCATTATCCCATATGGGATAATTTGACACAATAAGCAACATAAAATTTTCCAACGTTTAAACTTTTCTTTTGATCACTCTCATGAGGATTTGATTCCAAATCCTGACATTCCCTCTATACCATGTACAATATAGGGCATCTTTAATTTTAGAAACTTTGTTTGATTCAAAATATATGACATTAGATAATTTTTATAATTTTTTTTAACTATACCTCTACTTTATTTATCATTCTTTTTTAAAAATAATGTATTAAAATTTTAATTATTATTATCAAAACACTTGTTTAGAATATTTAATGAGGGTAAAATTGAAAAAAATGTAATTTTTTTAAGAAACTAAGATTTTAACTAACATTTTTCCTAAATTGTGAATTAGTTACTAATGCCCTATACTTTAATTTGGAAAAGTATTAATTATACCTAGAGGTGGGAATAGTCTATACGGGTTGGGTTAGGTTCAACTCATTGGAAAAATCCCAACCCAACCTTCATAATTTTTTTTAGACAATCACACCTAAATGAGAAGTTCTAATATGATATTTTACAGAATTAAAAAAATTCACATCATACATGCATAAGATTAATAAATTTCATCATGACTCATTTCAAAATTTGTGAGGTTTTAGCACCAAAACTCCCTCCATTTTTTACTTTTCATCAATTTTCTTTTATTTTTGATAAAAGAACATGGATTAAATGGGCTAACCCTATAACGAGTTATCTAGTCAGAGCCAAAAATGATCCATTTTTATAGGAGTCAATATTTTTCCAATCCAACTTAACACTTACAACAAGTTATTTAGACCAAATTATATAATCCACCCCATATTCTTCATACATCATATATACTTTTACCTAGCAAGTACAAGACTTGTTATTTTCAATAGCAAATTGACTTAAAAGCATAATTGAAAATAGAAGGAGATCAAGACCTTGCAAGAACGTACCAGTCTGCATGAAGCAAATAAACTGGAAGCAAGGCGCAACATATTTTATTTCATCATAAAGGGTGCCCTCACATTGACACACACACATATAGGAGGCTTCATCGCAAGAGGCTGATGATATTACAAAATGATTTAGTAGATCAAGAGGAGCATTTATCGTAGCAGAAGTTGGTGGTATCGACGCAGCGACACTGTGGAGGATAACTGAGAGCACAGATACAGAGCTTGCAAGCAGAGTGGCAAGTTTCTCCGATGTCTCTGCATTGGCATTGAGGTGGCTCCGATTTGGTGCAGACGCAATTGTCGCAGCAGGCCGTGGTGGTGGACTTGATCATGTAGTTGCCTTCTCCACCCTTCTCCGCCACCCTCATCACCTGAGTCAGCAACGTGTTTGGATCGAACCGAGCCTCCACTGTTGCAGATGTGAAGGCCATCAAGAACAGCACCAGGCCTACCTTCACCACCGCCTTCTGGTTCAAACCCATCTTCGCTCTATCTTCTTCTCTCAGTGACTTAGTTGTTATATTGAGAGCTTTACTTGTGAAGAGATCATCGCATCGTGAGAGGTATTTATAAGGCCATTTCTAGGATATTATAATATCACGTGATTCGTGAGCCAATTTATTAACCTATCGTGTATAACGATCCTGGTCGGTTAAAGATTTTTTTTTTCTTTACACACATGTTTGGTGTAGAAAGTGACTTTAAAAAGTTTGTAAAGTTAATTTTTTTTTAAAAAAAGGGAGATAAATAAAAAGGCTTATTGACATATATATTGTATAAAATATAAATTCTAAAACTACTATCCATAACTTATTATTAATATATTAACATATTATCAACCTCTCTGTAACAGTAATATATAGGAGATAACCAAGTTGAAATAAAGAAATAAATAAACAAACCCAATGAACAGACAGTCAAGTTTTGAGTAATGTGCTCCGTACAAATGAGCTTTCACTAACTTGGAACTTGCTTCAATTAAAAATCTTCAAATTATTAAGAAGTTTTGCATTTTCATTAAAAAAATATATTTTTGGCGGCGAGTTTAAAAAATTTGCCACTCTAACAATCATAGCTAATAAATTTTTGTGACGACAAACATATTTTTAAAGTTTTTCGTCACTAAAAATTTATTTTTAACTTTTTTAAAAAATAATTTATTTTATTACAATGTCGCCATGAAAATAATAGCCACCGCCTTCTGGTTCAAACCCATCGATCTTTCGCTCTATATTCTTCTCTGTGACTTAGTTGTGATATTGAGAGCTTTACTTGTGAAGAGTTTTTGTCCCACGCCTCAATTGACATTGCAGAGATTGTCCATTCAATGAAAATTTCGTTTATATTTCAAAATGAAAGGAGTTTTATTTTTATTGATGGTGTTAATTAGGGTAAAAATGGTAATTTTTTCAATTTTAAGATCATTTTAATAAGATAATTTTTTCTTCTTTTAATGAGAAAGGTAGTTAAAAGTGAAATAATACTTTTAAAACCAGGGGACTAATTAATTAACACTTTCTTTCCAGGTTCCAACACATGCTTGTAACATTTTTAACTTCTTTAAACACGTTTTTTTTATTTTTCTTTATTTACACAATTTTTTGGCCACAGATAATTACTCAATTTATAATCAACTTTCTAACATTTTTCTTCTGAGCCAAAAAAGTTACATAAAAATAAAAAAGTTACATAAAAATGACTAAAAAATTACAATAAAAGACCTAAAATTTATAGGCAATGACTTTTTTATTATTTTTTGGTCAACTAATAATTAAAGTTAATTTTTTAATAACAGAAACCAGATTGCACTATTCTTAAAAATTGAAAGAATAATTTGCACAATAAATTTAGAAGTAATTTGCTCATTTAATTACAACCTAAAATCAACGTAAAGTATAATTTATAAATTACAACTTTTCCTTCTAAATTACCTCTCATCTGTCAAATATTTACCATTCAATGGTTCAACCTTTGTCCATATCTCTTTTTTTTCCCCACTCAGTTTGTCATATGTTTAGCCCTCTTGGAAAGTATTTAAAAAATAAAAATAATTTAACGATAAAGGCCGGATTTTATTATTATAGCTTTAGGAAAATGGAATCAGATTCCTTGGCACAAAATTCTAGGTAAGAAAGCTTTGTCTAGGAATATAATCGATCTGGTGCATTTCTTTCTTTTTTGTGTGCATTTTTTTATTTTGAATGTGAGCTAAGATAAATTGAAGAGCAGACCAAGATAAAGAACAATGAGAAGTGACATAAAGTTGGATGATAGAAGAGGATCAAGACCTTGCAAGCAGCCAGTTTGCAAAAGTGCAAACCGGAAACAAGGCACAAGATAGTTTATTGGATGAGATAGAGTTGACATAGAGAGAAACAAAGTCTAAAGCAGTAGCAGTAGGCTGGGCGGTTCATACATATGTAGCATTACAGAATTAAGCAGAAGAGGAGCATTTATCATAGCAGAAGCTGGTAGTGTCAGCACAGCGACACTGTGGAGGATATGAGCGCGTGCAGATACAGGCCTTGCAAGCAGAGTGGCAGGTTTCTCCGACGTCTCTGCAATGGCACTGAGGAGGGATTGACTTAGTGCAGATGCACTTGTCACAGCAGGCAGTGGTGGTGGATTTGATGAAGTAGTTGGGTTCGCCACTCTCATTCATCACCTGAGCCAGGAAGTTGTCTGCATCGAAGCGAGCCTCCACAGTTGCAGTGAAGGCCATCAGGAACAGAACCAGACCCACCTTCATCATTGCCTTCTTGTTCAGACCCGCCATCCTCTCTCTCTCTCTCTCACTCTCTCTGTAAATGTGATGGTTTGTTTGAGATTTGCTTGTGAAGTGGCGAGGAGTTAGGGAAGGCTATTTATAAGCCCTCTTGAGGGATATTTTCGGTACCATGCGCGGTTGATGAAGTAGGAGCCCAGCCAGCTTGGCATGGAAGAAATTAAAAGAGGTGGGGTCTCATGAGTCTCCCTTTATTAATCTTAATAATATAATCTGTCAACCAATTATTCACGTGCAGTATACGATAGTACTTGTGTTTAGTTTTGACCCCTTCAATTTTCGTATCTGAAAATAAAGGATATTTAGGTAATTGTGTTCTCATGAAGGCGAAAATGTCAATTCGACCCAAGAAACACGGATGGCCGAGGTGGGTACAGACAACGAGGGAAGGTACGGAAATAAAATAATGGTTGCGCGTGATGCTCGACTTTCTTTAGTTGTTGGTGGAGTACAAAATTGTGTCTGATTCGAATCTCTTCTGCTGCCTGGTGGGCCAACAAATATTGTCCAGTACAATTATTTTCCATATGCTCGGCTGCCTTGAAAGCTACCACTCATGGTTCTATTCGCCACGTTGTTCCTGTATGTTTAATTACATGCTACTATATTCAACCCAAACTAGTAAGTACTTGATCCCTTAATATTTTATTTTTATTTTAAATATTTCTTTTGAAATCTTGATTTTTTAAAATTTTTTGTCTTTTTTTAAGTTTACTCTCATTAAATACTTTATATAAATACTTTGATAATGATAATTAAAATTTTAATATATCATTCTTTTAAAAAGAGTAATAAGTGAAGTATGAATATAATTAAAAAATAATTATAAAAATTACTAAATATCCTATATTTTAGATCAAATAAGAGTTCTACAAAATACTTGATATTGTGATTAGAGGGAAGTATAATATTAATTATTTTGAATTATTTTAAACTTCATGATTAAAAACACAATGATGAGCAGAGCTCAAATGCCATGATATTCAATATTCTAATAATGGTATTTTAGTTAAATAAGATTGTAGTTAGTATACAACCTAATTTTTTTTATATTATTTTTTAGCTGAAAAATATGTTTATATGGAAGGAAAAGTAAATATTACTTAATTGAATTAAATATTTTGATGTCTCGTGTTTTCCCCCTTAATTACAACGACCTTTAATTAGTTTAAAAACTTATATAAATCCTCTGGAATTAAAAGTTATGTTCGTACAATCTCCTCGCTATTTTTAGCATTGTATTTAAATTTACCCAATCATTAGTTAGTGATAATTTATTGCAATTGATGTCCATTCAACACAATTTCCTTACTTTTATATATTATTTGATTTAATTGTAAATATTTTAAGTTCAAATATAGAAAAATAACTTTGGCTGAATTTGGCTTTAGTCATAGCATTTATTGGTATTTTTTGTAAAAATCTTGCCTTAATTTAATCTTTAAAATATTTCTATTGTTTTAAGCGACTTCTAATAGACAATCATAATAATGAAGAGTTAAATAATGCTTGAAGATGTAATTAAAAGCAAAAAAAGGCAATAAATAATGGACCACAGGTGAATATTGATCAACTTTATATGCGGCACATGCGCATAGAGAGAAGGGACTTCAATGAATTTAGTGCACCATGGCGCATGGACTTGAGTCATGATTCACTCTTACAAAATGACCATATGTCACGGCAAATGAAGCAAAAATATTGCCGTGCATTTTAACTCTTAAAATATTATATAGCCTGGACACTATCACAAAAATATAATAAACATCATCAATCATTATTTTACTCATCGGGTTATTAAAAAATCTACCTAAGGATTGTTTTTATAAAATACTCTCTCTGTTTTAAATTATAAGATACTTTTAAATAAAATTTTATATATTAATAAACCTTATTAAATACACTTAACAACCTTATCTTTTCAAAATAAAAATATAAACTTTTAAAAATACCCATCATTTAAAATATTGAAAAGAAAAGGGACAAAAATAAATTATAAAGAGAGAAAGGATAATATTAAAATTAATGCATTTAATAAAACTTTAATTTGCCCAAAGTATTTTATATTTTGGGATCAAAAAAATTTATTCAAAAACATCATATAATTTGGGACAAAGGAAGTAATACTTTTGAGCTTTATAAATTTCACTAGTTTTTTTTGCCACCTAAGATGTTTATTTAAAACATAAGTAATAATTAACCAACGAGCTAAACAAGTGATTATCTTAATAAAGATTTACTATTAGTCACTTCTTGCTCAAAATAATTGCTGTGATGAGGCAACCTAGGACGGCGGGTGAAGTGTTTGTAATTAAGTACTCCTTCTGTTTTAAATTAGAAGAAACTTTTAAAAAGATTTTTTCATTCTAAGATATAAGATACTTTAATAAATTAAGATTTCATTAAATCCACTAATTTCAATATTATCTTTTCTCTCTCCATAATTAATTTTCATGTCTTCTTTTTTAATATATTAAATGATGAATATTTTTAAAATTTTATATTTTTGTTTTGGAAAGATGATATTGTTAAGTATATTTAATGAAGTTTATTGATATATAAATTTTTTTAAATGTCTTATAATTTAGGATGAAAGGAGTATAAAATAAATGAATATTAATTTTAGAAATTGGGCTAGGGACTGTCTCAGAGAGGTCTGATTGGGTATTGGCAATACAAACAAACATGCATTTGGAGGGCAGAATAAATTAAATTTGTTTATCCTTTTCCTAATACCTTGGTATTTCTTTTTTCAACCCAACTTATTTAATAAGAAGAATGATATAGAGGTTTTAAAAAGATTAATTAATTTAAATTAGATTTTAAATATTAAATTTTATGAATTTATAACTCAATTTTTTAATTTTGTAATTCTATTATGATGAATTTACAACTTGTATTTCAAATTTTTATAGAAAAAACAAATTCTATAATTCGTCAACCATTTTAAAATTTAAAAAAAAAGTTATAAATTTATCAGAATGTAGTTATAAAACTGAGAGATGAATTATAAATTTATGAAGTTTAACATTTAAAACTTAACTTAAATTAGTTAATCCTTTTAAAATTTTTTTGTCATTATCCCTATTTAATATCGGACTCGTCAAGTTCAATGATCAAATTTGTATTGTAACACTAACAATTCTATTAGAAAAATCAACATAAAATGTATTTAATTACAAAAATCAACATAAAATATTAATTACAACTTTCCCTTCTTAATTGCTCCCTCCGTTCTTTATTAACAGAGAAACTATCACTCTTGTCTTGTATTTTTTATAAGTAAAATCACATAATTTAATGGGAATTTATTATAAATTTCATAAATCACTCATCATGATTTACATTAATAAAAAACAATTAATATATACTTATGTTGATTAATACAAGATATTTTAGTCCAATTTTTTATTTTTGAACATAATTATTATAGTTAATTGAATTTCTTAAATACTCCCTCCTTTCAACCATTTCACGCATATTAAGAAATATTAATTTTTTTTTGATATTGTAAAAAGTGAGATATACTTTTATTTTTACCCTTAGTTTTAAATAATAATAAAATTACATTAAATACTTTCATGTTAATCAAAAGGGGATAAAATTAAAAAATAATTTAATTATTATAAGGTATTATATATTTTGAACCAATAATTATTTTTAAAAGGTGTCTTATAAATAAAATCAAAGGAAGTAGTATGACATAATTTTTTTCCCTTATATATAAAAATATGTACTTCTCATCCGTCACATATTTACTATTCAATGGTTCCACATTTCATCCTTTAATATCATTATTGCAAGTTTGATATCCTTTTTTCACTCAGTTTGTCATATGGCTTAGAGATCTTGCGGAGGCATCTTGACAGTTAAAATACTTTAACCATAAAGGCTGGATTTTGTTATACCTTGAGGAAAATTGAATCAGACTCCGTTGCGCGAAATTCTAGGTAATCATTTTTTGTCGAGGAATCGATCATATGCATTTCTTTTTCTTTTTTTTTTCCGCATAATGTTTTATTTTTATTTTTTTATAACAAAAAGTTTAAATGAGGTAGACACTGGTAACCCATCAAGACTAAGATAAACCTCCAATCTCTTTGAAGATTTTTGAGAGGGACTACACATCACCCATCAATGAGCGCCTTACATCAGTCAGCAGGTTTCGAACCTACACCCTTATCGGGTAAAGGCTGTGTCCTTAAACAATTGCACCATGCCTTCATTGGCTGCAATTTTTATTTTAAATGTGAGCGATGATAAATTAAAGAACAAACTAAGATAAAGCATACTAAAAATTAAAAAGGAAAAAATAGTAATTAAGGATCACTAAGAAAAATTATATCAATTAAGGACCAATAAATTTTAAAATTGCATTGTAATCCTTTAATCATTGACGGATGTTAATTTTTTTAAGGCCAAAGACCAAATTTCCCTTCAAATTAAAAAACAAAAAAAATAGAAACCCCGCTGTCACTGATAGGGGTATGCATGTAACCCGATTGCCCGATATGCCTGCTCGAATCTGGTAAAATTTTGCCCAAACTAACCCTAAAAAAAGTTGCCCGACATGACTTGGGCATGTTTGGGCAGGGCATTGTTCGAGCAGGGCGGGGCCACAGGCAGGGTAGCATGCCCTGCCCGTTTGGCCCAGCCCGAGTACATTAATATATTTTTTAAATTTTTTAAAGGGTCAATTATATTAATTATTAAGACTTAAGGAAAGATGAAAAGAGGAATTAAGAAGAAGTTTTTTGTAAATTGAAGTCTACCCTGTGAAATTATTTTTTTTATGATGCTCCAAACTTTTGTAAAATTTATGGTTTTTAATGGATTATTGTAGCTATAATTTTAGATTGCATTATGGATAATTTCACTATGTGTCAAGGACTTATGGTAGTTTTATATTTCAAGTTAAATGTTGAATTATAGATAATTAGGTATCATAGTTGTTATTTTGTATTTATGGTTTACATCTTTATAGATGTTATTTTGAGTTGATGGGCTGGATCATTGTTGTTGATTTATGGTAATTTCATTTAAAGTTGATGAAAAG